GGCCCCGTTACAGCGACCCGGCTCAGGAAGGCAGCAGGAGGACAGGTTGGCAGCATCAGGCCTCGGACGGCAAAGGCCCAGGCCAGATGCCGGCAGGCACGTCTCAGGAGGTCGGGCTTGCTGCTGATCTGCTGGGGAAGGAAAAATGTCCTGGAAATCCTTCAGTTGCTCAAATGCACAGAAAGCACGTGCTCCCCTCCCCTCCTTCCCCTGCCCCCTCGGCCATCTGCTGCAGCCACACTGGCCTCCTGGCCATTCCTTGAACCCACGAGGCACATTCCGGCCGCACGGTCTCTGTCCCTGCTGTTCCCGCTGCCCAGAATGCTCTTCCCGACGCCTTGATATCCGCCTCCCCTCACCTCCTTCATGTCTCTGCTCAAGGCCGTCGTCTTGTCCGTGAGGCCATTCCTGACCCCACCGCTGCATCCGGCTGCCCCTCTGGCTTTATCCTGTGACTTCTTGCTGCTGTTCCCAGCTCTCCCGCGGCCTGACGCTGGCCTTTTGCGTGTTGCTAGTCTCCCATGAACTTCCTGGGGCAGGGGCCTCGTTTCATCCAAAGTTGTAACTCCAGCATCTAGAAAACCGCCTGGCACATAGTAAGTGGTTAATAAATATCTGTTGAATGAATAAATCAACACAATAGCATAGCAAGGAATGGAAGGCTCTAGAACAGACCAGAACATACAATAGAACAGAAAGAATACAGTGGAATAGACATGCTACACCATGACAACCCAGAACAGCCCAGCAAAACCAGACTGACACTCCAGGCTTCGACAGAATTGACAGGACAGCCAAGAACCCCATCCTGAAACTGTGATCCGGACCCCAGCGGGCACCATGGGGCCGGTGGCTGAGAGCTGCATCTGGGCTGGGGTTTTTCCCTCCCCCAGCAGACTGGCCCAGCTACCCTGGTCCAAGGGCTCTTCCGCCCACTCTGTCCCTGTTCCTGCCCAGCTGGACAGGTCAGGGGTGGTTTCTGGTCTGGGCACCCGGGCTCTGGCTCCTGTCTGGGGTGATTCCTGCTGAGTCACTGGCTATGGCTCCGGCCAGGATCCCATGGCCTGACCGTGCTGGGGGGGACCGTGGCTGGGGGATGACACACTTGAGTCTACATGTGCGCGTGGCTGGGGGTGGTCCTGGGCTTGGCCACAGGCTGCTTCTCCCCCTCACTGGTGGCTTCTGCTCACCTTTCCCATGGTGCGATGGTGACAGAGAATCTCTCTTCCCACTGGCCACCTCCCAGGCTCGACCGAGGCCCCGGCTAGACAGATGATTACAAAAAAGAGGGAGAAAGAGAAGGAGAGAAGACTTGGGGACCCCTCCCTGCAAGAAACCCTCCATAGGGGGAGGCTGACCAGCAAGAAGTTGCCCCCACCCAGCACAGACTTGGGCCTGTCCTTGGGAGACTGACCCGCCTCTGGGGCTCATCTCAGGGCAGGGGTAAGGCAGGAGGACCTGCCTGTCTGCCTGGAAGGTGTGGGGGACACTGATCCCAATTTGAACATGATCCTGGCACCTCCCTCTCCCAAAGCCCTCAACCCAACCTCTCGCTGTGACAGGTCAATTCTCCTCCAAACCTACCTGGAATCTGACCACATCTCACCTCCTCTGGAGCCCTCTGCCTAGCACCCTCCAGGGGCTGCTCCTCACTAGAGCAAAGGCCGAATCCTGCCCGTTCCCGGTTGGATCTGCCCGCCCTGTTCCCTCGCTAGCCTCCGCGCCTCATCCAGCCCACCCCGCCCTTACCACGCTGGCCTCCTGGCTGCTCCCTGGTTATGCCACCATATCCCTGCCTCAGGGCCTTTGCACTTGCTGCACCCTCTGCCTGGAACTCTCTTTCCACAAGTACTCACACAGCCCCCTCCCTTATTTCCTGCCAATCTTTGCCTGGCATCGCTTCCTGAGAAACACCTTCCTTAACCACCCCCAACACGGAAACCGTTCTCTGGCATCCCGACTCCCCCAGCTGTGCTCAATTCTTCCCTGCTGACCCTTGTCACAGCACGTTGTGCTACGTATGCATTGTGCGGTCTCCCTTCACAGAATAACAGCTCCCTGCAGGCAGGCGGGTTGTCTGCTCTGTTCACTGTTTCATCCCACGTGCCCGAAGCAGGGCCCAGCCCACAGCAGGTGCTCAATACATTTTGGGCAAATAAATGATGGATGAGCTGGAGGAATTGGGAGGGGAGCAGAAGTGCACACTTGGAAGCTTCTCCGAAGAGGTGACATTTAAGCTGAAGCCCGAGGTTGAGAAAGAGTCAGTCCCTCGAAGTATTCCAGGCAGAAGACACAGCAAGTGCAAAGGCCCTGAAGCTGGAACCTGATGGGCAAACTCAAGAAGTAGAAAGAAGGTCGTGAAGCTGAGTGTAGCATGTGTGCCTGTGGCCGGCGGGAAGGGTTGGGAAATTGTGGGGACTGAGCTTGCAGCCTGTAACCCAGGGAATGCAAGGACCCTGCTCTGACACCCCAGGACCTTCTTGGTGTCTGACAAGCTCCTAACAGCTGGTTTTCTGTCTGTCTTTCCCACCCAGCGATGGCTACAACTGGTATCTCCTCTCCCCACCCCCTCCTACTCCCCCTCCCCTCCCTCCAACCACCTCCCCCCTTTCCCTCTTTCCCGCCTAGCCTGGCAGCGCCAGGAAAATGTGACTCAGGAGTCTGGCCGGCTCAAGCCTCCCTCCCCCCGTGTCCAGGCCGCTGGGCTGGAGCCAGCCTTGGCCTCATGTCCAACCTCCCGTCTGACGTTCCACCGGCCGGGCAGGGGCGGCCCCGGCGCGGCACACACTCCACGCGGGTTCTTACTGGGGCAGCGGCCCGAGTAAGAGCAGCAGCCGAATCATATAAATACGCTCTTCCCAACCGAGGGGCATGGTTTCCTCATTTCCAGGGGAGGCTCAGAGAGGCCATGACCCTTGTCACACAGCTCTGGCACCCTGGTGCAGGCAGTGGCAGTGCCCGGTTGGCAAGTCCAGGATAGGGCGCTGGGTAGGGCCGAGACTTCACCAGTGTAGACAGATCACACGCTTCCCCAGGGACCTCCCAGACAGGAGGGACCCTGGGCTACGGACTTGGCCTTGGATCCTAACATCCCCCAGACCCAGAGCTGGGGTCTCCTTTCTCCCACTAACTCCCAACCCACATACCAAGAAAGAACCAGGCCAAGAGTCCAGGAAGGAAAATACCCAGCAAAGGGACACAGAGCACTTCCGGGGTACCTGCGCCCTCTCCCCATTTCCTCCACCAGCGACCCCCCAATCAGCCAGTGACCTCAGCTGCACACGGTCACTTCATCCTGCGGGACATTAAACAACATCTTTCCAGCCTTCCCTGAGAAAGACACCAGGGGGTTCCGAAGGTGGGTCCCATTCAGCTCCTGCGGCAGAGCAGCCTCTGCTCAGCTGTTCAACGCTGGGCAAGTGTTTCCACCTCTCTGGGCCTCAGTTTCCCATCTGCACCACAGGGCGTGTAGGAGCACACAGTCTTCCAGGGTGGGTCTGTGCGTTGACCGAGTCAGCGCCTGCGATCTTCAGCTCACTGCTCGGCACACAGCGCGTGCTCGGAAAATGCTGCCTTTGTTCTCCCCGCGCCCCGAGTCTGTGCAAGGAGTTCTGGGGACCCCTGCCCCGTGCCACGTCAAAAGCTTGCCTGTGGAACTCGTCCGTCACCCGTCCCTCCCGTCACAGCCGCTGATCCAGGTTAGATTTTATTCTCTGGCATCCACTAACGAGGCCACAGTTATTATTATTTCTGGCCTCAAACGCAGTGTGGTTCTGGCACATTCATGGGACCCGGCTACTTTTCCCTCTGACGAGGTGGCGTCCCAGCATTTCTGGAAAACTGCGCCGTTTCCCCATCAGGAGCATTCAGTCGTAACATGGCCGTGGGGCTTTCGAGGCAGGCGCCACCTCTACTCCCCGGCTGTCCGCCCCTCCAGCTCTCGGGGGGAGATGCTGGGGGCTCCTGACCCCCCTCCTGACCCCCCCCAGCCCCACCCAGACCAAGAGCAAGGGATCCCTTGTGTCGGCAAAGGACAGTAACGACACTGACAGTGATAGCAGCAGGGCAGCTTCTTATTTTATCCTCATAACCCCTGTTCGAGGGAGTTTCTCCCCTTAGCACCATTTAATGGGGAAACAGAGGCCCAGAGAGGTGAACCAGCTTGACCAACGTCACACAGCCAGGGAGGGGGACTAGGGGGCTGGAAATCAAACATGCTGGATAGAGAAGCCCCGGCTTTGACCTCTTTCCTCAGCTTTCTCCGTAGGTAGAAACTCGAAAGGCTAAGTGTGGACTGGAGACACCCTCGTCCTCACTCTCGCACCCTCTCCCTCCTTGGCTTGGCTTCAAGGCGGTTCAGAATGCAACAGACTCAGCATCTTCGCTTCTTACCAGTGTGGCTTTGGCTCATGAATTCCGCTTTCTAAGGCTCAGTTTCCTCGTCTGCAGAATGGGGGCAATGTGGAGCCCCTCTCATTGGCTCGTTAGGAGAATTCCCCAAGATTACGAGTGCTTTTAGATGCTGAGCGGTGGTCCCCCAATAAATTAAACATAGAACTACCATGTGACCCAGCCATGCCACTCCTAGGTGTGTACCCCAAAAAACTGAAAATAGATGCTCAAACAAAAACTCGTACACAAATGTTCACAGCAGCAGTATTCTCAATAGCCAAAAAGTCGAAACAGCCCCATCATCCATCTGCTGAGGAATGAATAAACAAAATGTGGTCTATTCACACGAACGAATATTATTTAGCAATAAAAAAGACCCCAGCACCTACACGCTACATAGCACACGGAAAGTGGGTGAGCTGTTGCCAGGGGCTGGGGTGGGGGATGGGGTGTGACTGCTGAGCAGGCGCAGGGTTTCCCTGTGGGGTGATGAAAATGTTCTGGAACTCGATAGTGGTGACAGTTGCACAACATCGTGAATGTACTAGATACCACCGAATCGCACACTTTTAAATTGGTTGAAATGGCAAATTTTATGTGTATTTCACCACAATAGGAAAAAGTGCTTAGCAATGCCCAATACAGAAAGCATCCAAGGAAAGCCAGCAGAGACGGTCGTCATTACTGCGGGGAGTCTCGCCGTACTCAGGGCCTGGGCTCCAGAGTTGGCCTGTGAGGCTGAAGTCGAGTCAAACCTGCCACCCACAAAACACAGCAGCTGTTTCCCCGCCCCCCCCATGCCCACCCTATGGGAGTCAACAGGTGATTCCGGCCACCTCCACCGACTGACTGATGTCGTAACTGTGGAGAAAGACAGACAATGTGTCCCCACACACCAATAAACAGAGACGATGATGCCACGTAGTGATGAGGATAGGAGGTGCAGTAAGGCAGGGCCTGGTTTAGGCAGGGTCACCAGGGAAGGCTCCTTGGAGGAAGTGACACAAGGTGAAGGAAGTGAAGGAAGAGCCCAGCAAAGCCCTGTGTGATGCACCCCTGCCCACCTCCCCTACCTCAACCTCACCAGGCACCCCCTTGTTCACTGAGTTCTAGCAACACCTTCTCCCACAGGCACCAGCTTGCTCTGCCCCAGGGCCTTTGCACTTGCTGTTCATGTGAGTACCTTCTCCACGGCGCCACTGGACCAGCTCCTTCTACCAGTTGGGTCTTTGCTCAAACATCACCTGCTCAGAGAGGTCCTCTCAGACTGCCCTGTCTCAAGGGGCCCCTGCAGTGACACCCCATCACTGCTCCCTGTTTGTTTCCATCTTAGTGCCTTCCCTACCCCAAATTATCTTCTTTTTGTGTCTGTTGTCTCTCTCCCCATTACACCATCAGCTCCATGAGAGCAAAGCTTTTAGTCTGTCTTGTTCTCTGGTGTGTCCCCCATGCCCTGTGCCTAGAATAGTACCCAGCACATAGTAGGTGCTCAAGAGATATCTGTGGAAGTACAAATAGATGAATCAATGCTTCTTTGTAGAGAGGAGGGGGCTCAGGCCCAGAGAAGGGCTAAGGCTTCCCCAAGGGTACACAGGTGGGGAGAGGGGTGAGTCCAGGCACCCCCTCTTGGTCCAGGGCCCACCCTGGGGTGTCAGTAAGGCCCTGCTGCTGACAAGGGGCTGTGGGGCAGGAGGCCACATGGCCAAGGTAGCTCTGGGGTCCACTGCGCCACCCGCCTCCCTCTGCCTCCTGACGCCCCTCTGCCCCACAGCTTGGGAGTTCTGCCCACCCCGCTCCCCAGCCCCCATCCTGGCTGTGCCAGCCTCCAGCCTTAGGTGACCCACAGGGACTTTCCCCAACAGGTGAGGGCTGGGGCAGGGGAAAGTGCCAGGTGGCTGCCAAGGTGGCTCTCTGTTCCCGAAACTGCCATCCAGGAAGTGAGCAGGGGTGACACAGAGCCCATGTCACTGGGGCTCTGCCCAAGGCCCTCACCTCAGCCGGGACACCTGCCCGAGTGATCCTGGGCAGGTGGACGCCTCCTCTGAGCTTCTGCTTCCTGGCGGGCAGTAACTCTCGCCTCGCAGGGCTGTACAGGCAAGAAACGGGGTAGCGTGAGAAAGACACCTCCCGGGCTCGCCGGAGGGTTCTGCAGGACACACTGGCACTGAGAGATGGCGCGTGGGGCATACTTACACCAGAAAAGCGTTTCTCGTCTATCTGAAATTCCCATTTCACTGGGCATTCCGGGTTTTCGTTGTTGTTGTCATTGATCTTGGTGTTTTCGTTTTTGCTAAATCCGGCAATCCTAGTCTGGCATGAAATAAATATTCAATAATGTTCGTGAGTGAATGAATGAATGAAGGGGGCTAAAAAGCATAAGCCGAAGGAATGAATGAATGAGCGACTGAAAGCCCTTTTGTTTCTGGCATTACTATTACGGTTGTCATTGTTTTCTCACTTACGGTTCAAAAGTTCCTGCTTCCGAGAACATTCTTTCTGTTATCTCAGGCTCAGGACCGGCCGCCGGGGAAGTCGAGGCTTGCAGGGGGAAGTGACTCACCCAGGGCCCTCCAGGCCTGTCTGCATCTGAGGCTGAGTCCCCGTCACACTGCCAGGCAGCGCCTGCCCTCCGCGCGACAATAAAACCCGCTCCTTTAAACCTCACAACACCCCACGAAGCTGGGACTCTGCCAGCGAAGACACTGAGGCTCGGAGGGGCGGTGTGACCTGTCCGAGCTGATGGTGGCACCTCCTGGACAATGCCCCTCTTCCTGGGGCCCAAGAGCTGCAGCTGGCAGAGCTCCAGGCTCAGCTAACAACCGGGGCGTCCCGCAGCCCCCTGCCTCCTGCCCCAGCTGCCGCCGGCCCGGGACCTAGAGCGCAATCACTCAGCCAGGCTGAACTTCGTGAAGGAAATTCCTCCCCGGGCGGCCTCCCCCTGCCCCGCCTTCAGTCCCAGGCTCCACGGCCGGGAAACGCCTCCCCCAAGGCCCGCTCACCTCCTGGCAGCGCTAGCAGATGTGGAAACCCAGGCTTGGCTGTGGGCTGCCAGCCCGTGGGCGGTGGGCCGGGCTCGCGCCAGATGCACTTGGCCAACGCAGCCAGCACTGTGTTTCGTTCAGTCATTCGACAAACGTTTACGGAGGCTCTGCTGGGCCAGGCACTGGGCTCCTTGTTGCTGGTTGTCGGAAGAAGTGGATCAGATGATGAGTGTTTAAAAAAAGCCTGGCACATGGCAAGCGTTCGTGTATCTATCCTTCTCCCCTGAGCACCTAGTGTGTGCCTGGCACCGCAGGTGGCCCCGTTTGGCCTGTAGGGAGACAGGACCTCATCAGGAAACCACAGCGTAGGAGAGCCTGGAAGCGGATGGAACCAGCTGACGCTCACGGAGCTCACCTGCGGTGCTGGGCTCTGTCCCGACAGTATCTCATTTAATGCTGCTCATCACGGCCCTAAGCAGCAGGACGGTCACTATCCCCGTTACACAAACAGGGGCAGAAGGCCAAGGCTCTACCACAGGGATTAGCACTTGCTTTACCCTCTCCCATATTTAGAGAGAACAAGCAATTACAGAACCTCCACTAATTGAGTCACCTCCCTTCATGAGCAGTTAATCAATTCATTCATTCATTTATTCATTCAACAACTCTCTATTAAGACTTACCACAGGCCAGGCACTGGAGACGCAGCAGTGAATAAAACAAACAAAACTATAACCACATATAGTATTAGTAAGAGCACAGGGTCTGGAGCCAGATGCCTGGGTTCAAGTCCCAGCTCTGCCTCCTGCCAGCTGTGTGATGTCGGGCAAGTACCTTGACCCCTCTGAGCCTCAGTTTTATCTTCTGAAAAATTGGAAATAATAACAGTACCCACCTCATGAGGTTATGAGGACTCGATACATTTCTCCAAGCAAAGGGCTGGCCACAGAGTCCGGTAGACAGGAAGAGCTCAACACGTTGGGTAATTTTCTTTTTAATGTCTATTTTTCGGATGAGTAAACTGAGGTTCAGAGAAGTTATGGCACCTGCCTAGGGTGAAACGTTAGTTGAGTTGGAACTTGAATCTAAATGGCTCAACGACTGAGAGGACCCCTCCCTCATGGCTCCAGTCCTCAGCCCCTCCAGCTCAGAGGCATCCACCTCACAGCCACCCACCCGACGTAGGCACAACTTTTAACCCTGGTCTTTTAGTCCCTACAAGGCACTAGACACCCTCACGCAGTGTCCTGAGAACCAAGTCTCCACTGGCCCCGCCCCAGATGCACAGACATGTGTCCGTTGGTGCAGGGCCGTGGGATCTGCGTTTTAATAGGTGTCACTGCTGATTGCTGTGCTGGGGCGTGACACCGCAGGCTAGGCCTGGAACCAGGCTGGGACACAAGTCATCCAAGCAGAGCAGGACCCAGGGTGTGAGGTGGGCTGGAGTCAGCTCTGTTTTATTTCAGGAGAGGAGGGGGAGGGGGTAGGAGAAAAAGAGGGAGAGAGGGAGGAGGGAGGAGGAAAGAAGGAAGGAAAGGCAGGAAGGAGGGAGGGAAGGGGAGAAAGAAAGAAAAGAAGAAAGAAGAAAGAAAGAGTGAGAAGGAAAGAAGGAAAGAATTCTCGTTTGTCCCAAGCTTGCCCAAACTGAGTGCAGAGCCAGACCACAGGGCTCTCATTTTCTTCCCTGATTTTTCTGCCAGAGGCAGGAAACATTCTCCCTTGGGAAGCTCAGAAATAGCTGAGCTCAAAAACTAGGCTGGGTGAGGAGGATTCCAGGCTAGAGGGAGGGATTTACACCAAAGGGCTCTGTAGCGTCTGGAGGTTAAGGGCACAGCCACTGGCGCCAGTCGGCCTGGGTTCAAATCCCAGGCCTAATACTCCTTGGCTCTGTGACCTTGGATTTGGCCTCCATTTCTCACCCACGAAGCAGGAATCAATAATGGTACCAGGCATGGCTGCATCTAGGTGTTCAGATTTCATCATTAAGACTCGCTTTCCCTCCACCGTTGCTGGCTGCACTCTCAGTCAGGCTTCTTCTCATCGAGGCACAATGAACCCCACAGTCCAGGCTTCCACCCAACTGGGCTCAGCAACCCCGACAGAGAGAAAGTGCCTCCTTCCCCAACCCTCCCACCAGAGCAGCTAAAATCCCAGGCCTGGCTCTCATTGGCTGAGAGGATGCAGCGCTATGATTCGTCAGTCCTGGGTCACATGCCCCACCCAGCAATGGAGTTGGCCCCACCTGAAACCCTTGAACTGAGGCACAGAGAAGGGGAGTGGATGCTGGGTAGGCGCCAACAGCAGACATCCCTACAGAGGCCCACAGGGGGCAAGAATAGGAGAGAAGCCCACTTAGCATTTGCTGAGCACCTGGCACGTGCCAAACACTGCATTTACATGGTCCTGTTATGCCCCGGACAAGCCTGTCCTACTGTTCCTTTGCAAAACAGGAAAGGAGCCTTAGAGGAGGTGAGCGGACTAGGCCAAGGCCACCTAGAGCCACCTCTGCTTCTGAACCCTTCCTTTCCACCCTGCCCGTCAGATCTCAAACCTCCACGAGAGGGGAAACAACAGGGACGGTTTATAAGACACTTGCTGCGAGAGCAGGCACACCGTTTCCTCATCGCCGAGTCCTTGCTGAGCCTGTCTTCCTAACATCCCTGAGGCTCTGAGAGGTCCAGGCACTTGCCCAGGGCCACACAGCAGGGAGAGGGGAGCCAGGGTCTGGACCGGAGCTCCCTGAGTCCACGCCAGGCCTGGGAGGCAGGGCTGGCGCCCACCAATGGGATTAGCACTTGCTAATCCCAGGGCAAAGGAGGGGGGAGCCAGGCCCCTGGCCCAGCCACCTTTCCAGCCACCTCCTGGACCCTGTCTCAGGTATAGGATGGCCCCAGCTCTCATCTGGAGATTACAAGAAACAGCCGGCAGCTCACCCCAGACAGGGCAGTAGTAGGGCTGGAGAGGGGGGACGGGGAGGTGCCAGCCATGCCCCCTGCGAGGTGGTGAGGAGAGCATGGGCTCTGGGGACAGGAGACCTGGATTTTCACTCAGCTCTGTCCCTTAAATCCTGTGTGAGCCTGGCGAGCACCTTGCCTCTCTGGGTCTCACCTGCAACGTAGGCAGGGCCCACCGCAGGGGACGCTGAGAAGCTCCTGTGAGCGAGTGCGCGCAGCCACATTTATTCAGCAGCCATGTGGCACAATCCCTCCCCCCACCCGTGAACTCACTCACCTTCGCCACACCCGGGGGAGGGAGGTGCTGTTATTATTACCTCCAATCTCAGAGAAGAAACTGAGGCACAGAGAGAAGGGACTTGCCTGACGATGTCACGCCCAGTCAGGAGGTGGCAGAGCCGGGATTGGAACCCAAGCCAGTTTCATTCCGGAGCCTACCTCTTAGCCGTTATCCAGTGCCCTGAGTGCAGCCGAGGTCAGCTGCTGTCACTGCTACTGTGCCTGCCAGGCTTTCTGGAGTTAGGGTCCTACCCTGAGTCTGGAAACAGGGTGGGCCCAGACTTCCCGGTATCCCATCCTGAAGAGCCACCCTGTTGTAACCCTGCTGCAGAAACGTAGGCCCAGAGTGGGTGTGTGCAGTGCCCAAAGCTGCACAGCACAGGGGTCAGCTATGGCTTCTCAGGGCAGCGTCCCGCCCAGCCGACATCTTCTGGACACCCCCTTACACACACACACACACACACACACACACACACACGAATGCACGGCACACTCCCCCGTGGGGCGGGGGCTGCCTCCGCCGGCTCCAAGCCGGCTCCACGCTGGCTGCAGGACATTTGTTACTGTGTCAGTTCCAGCTCCCACCCTGATGGGGGGCCGGCAGGCAGGGGGCTTCCTGGAGGCCCTGGGCGGGAGGAATGCGCCCCCGCCCCCAGCCCATATGGCCTCCATCCCGCGCATCTGCTTCCCATTGCCCGATGCGGCCGCCGCGGGGCCGCTGGAGCCCGCCCGCCGGGGTGTGAAGTTTATGTGGCCGGGCCTGGAGCCGGCGGTGACAGGGCCACACACGCTCACGCAGAACACACCGGACACCCCCACCCCCCCTGGGTTGTGTGCACATACACACACAAACATCACTCCACCCCCGTACGCCCCAGAATACACCCGTGTTCTCAGCCTCACTCACACCGACGAACGCCAGAGACTTCCAGCGTGAACACTGACGCACCCGGGGACCTCCAACACCACCAGCAAGCTCCACGCTGAGCCCCGACACACAAGCATACGCAGCAGTCCACTCCCAGAGTGGACCCTGCTCACAAATACACGTGGACTCACACACACTGACACCCTTCCCAGTGTGCCCCCCCATCTCTGCCCCAGTACAGAGACACACACAAGCTTACCCAGATGACGCGGACACCAAACGGTGGCTTACACAGGGCCAGGTCTCAAGAGAGGCCAGCAGGTGGGGAAGGGGCCTCTTCCTCCAAGACACAGGACAGCCGCTCCCCCTCTCTCCCCTCCTCGCCCCCGAATCTCCCACATCCCCCAAATCTAGACGCTGCTGTCAGGGCCCCAGGGCCCCTGTGTGTGCTGCCGACACAGGACACACGCTGTCCTGCCTCCTCCTCGCTCCCTCCTAGGTGGCAGGGACAGGAGGCCAAGGAGCCTGGAGACCAGCAGCCACTGCCCGAGGTCGCCAGGGACAGAGGGCAGAGCAGGGTTGCCACCCAGGGCCCCTGGACTCTGCACCCAGCACTTTCTCTAAAACCCCTGAGAGACCCTCATCTGACTCCCCCTCCTCCTGGGCACCTAGACCATCCCCAGAGAGACCCTATCACATACCACCACCTCTAGGCACCTGGGGCAGAATTCAGGGATCCAAGAACTTGAACTAGGGAAACGAAGTACATCTTGATTT